CAAAAGTCCTCCAGACCCTGAAACCCTTGCTGGTCTCTTTAAGGTGCTAAAAGGTCAAGGTCATGGTTTCCCTTGCTTGAAAGCCAGTCAAATCCGACTCTAGGGATGCGATGCTCATCTCCGTTTCCAAGCCGAAGAGCCAGCGCTGTCCGAAGACATTTCCATGATCATGTGGCCGGCGTGACTAAACGCCGAGACGCACGGAACGCTGTTACCTTCCCTCTGAAGTGGTACCTATTTATCTCCTTGCAATGTCTTGCTTTCAAACTCCTAGGTTGGCAGGAGCTGGGGCCAGAGACGGGAGCTCACTCCGTCACGCGGCACTTGGGTTTCGAACTGCTGAACTACTGACCTTCCAGTCTGCAGCTCAGTGTCTTAACCTCTGAGCCACCGCGGCCCCTTTAAGGTGCTACTGGACTCAAATCGAACTGTTCTTCCTGCTAAGCATCCAGGTTTACTAGAGCCATTTTGGTAAGGGAACACGGGGGGGTGGGAGCTAAAGCCACCACCACCCCACACCCATAAGCAATGCTCCTTCTAAGCTATGGAGTCCTGTGAGCAAAAATTCTACTTTCTGAGCTAGTGGCATTAAAGTTGTGAGCAAGCAATTTGGCTACTGCAGAAATTAGATTGCTCTGGAGCCCTCCTTCCTGAGCTGACAAAAATGTGTGAGCCGGAGCCTAAAAAACTGTGAGCTAGCTCACACTAACTCAGTTTAGAGGGAACACTGCCCATAAGGGCTTACTGCTGAGCCCCGGGGTCAGGGAGGCGGCTGCATCATTGACGGTTTCTTCTCCAGAGGTGGCATCTAGGAGGCCAGACGGCAGCCCCTGAAAATGAGGGGCAGGCTGGGCCCATCTGTGGCCAGTGGCCAATGAGGGCAAGCGGCATTCCTTGGGCACAGGCTTCAACACAGTTGCTGTGGCCGCCTGCAAAAAGGTTCACTTAGTTTTGGCAGTTTTAGGCAGGGCCGGGATTTGTTGTAGGAGCTGAGGGATGGACCGGCATCTGTGTGCCTTACAAGAGAAGGGCCTGCACGGTCTTACTTGCCATGTATAATCCAGTGCTGCTAAGATACTGAAACAACCACTGGCATGAATGGATTTGGGAGGGAGGATGTCTCTTCTTGGTGTGTGTGTGGGGAAGTAGCTTGGTGTGTGTTGGGGGGGAAGAAAGCCGGTTTCGACTCTGGGAGAACCAGGTTTGATTCCCCACTCCTCCACTTGCAGCTGCTGGATGACCCTGGGCAAGCCACAGTTCTCTCAGAGCTGTTCTCTCAAGAACAGTTCTGTCAGGAGCTCTCTCAGCCCTGCCTGGCTCACAGGGTGTCTGTTGTGCGGAGGAGAAGAGAAAGGAGTTCTTAAGCTGCTCTGAGACTCCAAGTGGAGGGCGGGGCATAAATCCAATCTCCTCCTCCTCTTCTTTCCTCAGCAGCCACAAGTTCCTGGCTCCACATCCAGGGAGAAAAACCCTTTGACAACATTGGGGTCAGACATGGTGTGGTTATCACCAGGATAGGGTTTTCTTGGGGACACCCCCCCCAAAAAAAAAGCTGGGTGAACTTTAGTTAATAGACAAAATGTGGGGCCGCTAAACAAGCACATGGCTTCTCTCCCCGCCCCCCAAGCAATTCACCGACAAGAAGGTCAGTTCTGCAGTTTGTACGAGTTAAGCAGCTTAGGAAGCGGCCGCCTCTTCTCTTCTTTTGGGCAATTTGTTCTGCCATTGTTGTTATTCTACATAATGGGAGTCTTCTACTCCCGCTAATCTTCTCTGGTGACCCATTTGGTTTCCGCACACATTGCTCTCTCGCATCCAGCACAGGAGGACAAAAGGAAATATGTCCTTACACAACAAATGATTAAAATGTGGGATTCACTGCCAGAGGATGTAGTGACGGCCACCGGCACAGACGGCTGTAAGAGACAGATTCGTGCAGGATAGAGTCGATCAGTGGCTACTAAGGCACAGTGACTAACGGGAACCTCTGTTGGAAGTGAAGGACTTTGCGCTGCCTCTTAGCCTCAGGCTTCAGAGGGGGACTATAGAGAGTCAGAGAGATACAGAGGCCTGGACCCTGATCAATCTTCCCTTTTACTGCTCTGATACTATCCCTTGGATGTGTAGATTGCTGCAGTCAGTTTGGTGTCGTGGTTAAGTGTGCGGACTCCAATTTGGGAGAACCGGGTTTGATTCCCCACTCCTCCACTTGCAGCTGCTGGATGACTTTGGGCAAGCCGTAGTTCTGGCAGAGACTGATCAAGAGAGAGATCTTGGAGTTGTAGTAGATAACTGACTGAAAATGTCGAGACAGTGTGTGACTGCAATAAAGAAGGCCAATGCTATGCTGGGGATTATTAGGAAGGGTATTGAAAACAGATCAGCCAATATCATAATGCCCCTATATAAATCAATGGTGCGACCTCATTTGGAATACTGTGTGCAATTCTGGTCACCACACCTTAAAAAGGATATTATAGCTTTGGAAAAAGTGCAGAAAAGGGCAACTCGAATGATAAAAGGGTTGGAACACTTTCCCTATGAGGAAAGGTTAAGGCGCTTAGGGTTCTTTAGCTTGGAGAAACGACGACTGAGGGGTGATATGATTGAGGTTTATAAGATTATGCATGGGAAAGAGCAGGTAGAGAAAGAGGTACTTTTCTCCCTTTCTCACAATACAAGAACTCGTGGGCACTCCATGAAATTGCTGAGCGGTCGGGTTAGAACAGATAAGAGGAAGTACATCTTCACCCAAAGAGTGATTAACACTTGGGATTCACTGCCACAGGAAGTGGTGATGGCTACAAGCATGGACGGCTTCAAAAGGGAATTAGATAAGCATATGGAGCAGAGGTCCATCAGTGGCTATTAGCCACAAGGTATAGATAGGGACTCTGGGGCAAGTGATGCTCTGTCATCTTGGTGCTTGGGGGGGGAGGTCAACAGTGGGAGGGCTTCTAATGTCCTGGCCCCACTGGTGGACCTCCTGATGGCACTGGTATTTCTGGCCACTGTGGGATACAGAGTGTTGGACTGGATGGGCCTTTGGCCTGATCCAACATTGGCATCTCTTATGTTCTTATGTCAGAGCTGTTCTTGAAAAAAAGAGCAGTTTCTGTCAGAGCTCTCTTGGCCCCGCCTATCTCCCAGGGTGTCTGTTGTGGGAAGGAGTCTGTAAGCCGCTCTGAGACTCCTTTGGGTAGTGAAGGGCGGGGTATAAATCCAATCTCTTCTCCTCCTCCTCCTCCTCAGGGAATCTTCCTTCCAACTGACACCTCTCTGCACTCTTCTCCTTTCTGGCATCAGGTGGGCAGGACAGGCATCTTCTCCATCCATCCTAGCTAGTTAGACTAGATTAGAATCCTGCTCCAATCTTGCCCAAAATGGAGTTCCTTACAAGAAAGGACTCATATTAGTTTTGCAGAGATAAAAGAGGCTCTGTGTGTAACTTTGTCTCTTGGCAGCACACACACACACACACAAGCCAGAGAGACTCTGCTGTGTTGAGCGCCTTGAGCGCTCAGCTAACCCAATACCCCTTCAACCCCCACATACAGCCGCAGTCCACCTCTGAATCCCAGGGCCTGGAGGCAACATCAGGGGAAGACCTCGGCCTCTGCGCTCTGTTGTCAGCCATCTAGAGAAACTGTTTGGCCAATGTGCAACGAGGCGGGCTGCTGGACTAGATGGACCCTCACTGGTCAGATCAAGCAGAGCACTTCTGATGTTCTTAGCATAGCCTAACAATAATGGTTCAGGAGAAATCCTTAGGGACTGTGGTCTATACTACTGTGCTGAGGTAGCTGTAAATTAGATCCCACTATATACATCTGAGGGGCTGCGGTGGCTCAGAGGTTAAGTCACTGAGCTGCAGACTGGAAGGTTGGTAGCTCGGCAGTTCGAGACCTGAGTGCCGCATGACGGAGTGAGCTCCCGTCTCTGGCCCCATCTTCTGCCAACCTAGCAGTTTGAAAGCAAGAAATTGCAAGTAGGTAAACAGGTACCCCTTCGGTGGGAAGGTAACAGCGTTCCATGTGCCTCGGCAGTTAGACATGCCGGCCATGTGACCATGGAGAAGTCTTCAGACAGCGCTGGCTCTTCGGCTTGGAAACGGAAATGAGCACCGCATCCCTAGAGCTGGATTCAACTAGCTTTTGAGCAAGGGAAACCTTATATACATTGTGTCATGTTGACAATTTGCTTTGCTTCCGTTTTGTTTTTTAAAATCCCTGGTTGGTTCTACAACCCAAATCCTATTGCACTGTTTATTGAACGTCCCGTCCTGTCGATTTTCTTGACTCACTCTGTGTAATCTGCCTAGAATCCCAGTGAGAACCATCGACCACAAAGAACAAAATTAAATAAGTCATCAGGGCCAGACTGGGCTTTTAAAAGTAAAATCACCCAGGACCTTTGGGAAGCTGAGATGCATACCTGACACCACCTTCTGCAACTGCAGAACACCAGCTCCCAAGCTCTCCAGAGGGAGAGCTGCCCAGAAGACAGAAGAAGAGCGAGATTGGATTTATGCCCCCCCCTTCACTCGGAGTCTCAGAGCGGCTGACAAACTCCTTTCCCTTCCCCTCCCCACCACAGACACCCTGTGGGGTAGGTGGGGCTGAGAGAGCTCTTTCGAGGACTGCCCTTGAGAGAACAGCTGAGAGGAGAAGAAGAGGAGATTGGATTTATGCCCTGCCCTTCACTACCCAAAGGAGTCTCAGAGCGGCTTGCAAACTTCTTTCCCTTCCCCTCCCCACAACAGCCACCCCCTGTAAGGTAGGTGGGGCTGAGAGAGCTCTGAGAGAAACTGCTCTTTTTCAAGAACAGCTCTGACAGAACTGTGGCTTGCCCAAGGTCATCCAGCAGGTGTGAGTGGAGGAGGAGTGGGGAATCAAACCTGGTTCTCCCAGACTAGACTGGGCATCTGGGTGTTTTAATACTGTATGGCGACTGGCAAACTGTTGTCTTCTGCAGACGGAGCGAATTCCACACATAAATTCCAAGACACAGCCATCTACATGCCCTCATTAGACTTTATTCTTTGTTTCCCCCCCACCCCACAACATTGCTACTCCAAAAATAAAACAGTAAGGCTCTGGTGGGCAGAAGACCACTTCCGAAGGCCTCGAACGGTTCTCGCATCTCGGAAAAAAGAGCATCTCTTAAAAACGGACAGGTAAAAATGACAGGTAGTTTTCAGCCGGAGCCAGTTATCCCTGAAGAGGAGAGACCCATTTGGACTCCCAGGAGGTTAAGCACGTCACTTCGGAAAGGTCCGAGGGCTGGTTCCTGCGGACCACGCACACACACACTCCCACACACCCCTCTGTCTGGAGAAAGGTCTGCTTGTCGCACACTCGACGAGGCTCCAAAGGGAAGCTCCCAGATGCCTCCAGACAAGGCCGTTGTGCATTGACCTTCTCGGGCAGCCCAAACATACAGAGGTTAGAGGAAGAGACAGTCTTGCTGGAAAAAGAGATTAAGGCAAGGATACGGTGCCCCTTTGCTAAGTGTTCTCCCCAGACACCCCCTTGCTTCCCCAAGACCAGTTTTTAAATAAATCTACTAGGTAAAGGCTACGAAAAGAGTTCTTGAGCTCTGGCTCTTGAAGGGAGAGGGGGCAGCTCTTTCAGGAAGATCCAAAGAGACCGCGGGGAAAGCCCGATGCTGCTGCTGCTCGAGTGGGAAAGGCAATCCTGGGGAAGGGCAGTCCAGGCCCAGCCGAGGGCTCACAGTGACCTTGGTGGCCTTGCCAGAGGAAAGCGGGAGGCCTCCTCCCTCCTCCTCCGTGCCCGGCTGAGACGGGGAGGGCCCACACTCAGGCCTTATAGTTCAGCTCGGCGTTCATCTTGGTGTACATCTCGTAAATGGCGTCCAGGATGGGCGTCACTCTCGTTAGAAACTGGTGGATCTTCTCCAGGGTCTCCTCCTCTTTCACTTCCTTGCCCATCTCTAAGGCTTTCAGCAAATCCGATTTGTAGGGGAGAGCGTACACAGAGCCCTGCGGTTGTGGAGGGGGAGAGAAAACCCGGTCAGGATCCCTCGACACACCTGCACAGGGCTAGCCCAGCCCCCCGCCCCCCCCGGATTGGAGCGGATTCACAAGACGGGCAAAGTGAGGATAGCCCTAAATCACCTGCACAGGATCAGACCCCAAAAGATGCTACAAAAAGACATAGGGTTATTCCGTGTCCCCCACCCCCCCGATAATTATGACAATCTATTGCCTGGCAGCACCGGGTACCGATTCTACATGGCAAGTGAGACCGCATGTCCACTTTTGTTGTAAGGTGCATAGATGTTGGTCTATTCCTCATTTCCGAAGACCTCCATCTGAGACCCTGGAGAGCTACTGCCAGTATAAGGAGACAATATTGACACTGATGGACCAATGGTCTGATTCAGTATAAGGAAGCTTCATGTGTTATCCTAAATGTAACTGTAGGATCCAGTTTATTTATTTCCATCTGTATGAAGAAGAAGAAGAAGAAGAGGAGATTGGATTTATACCCCGCCCTTCATTACCCAAAGGTGTCTCAGAGCGGCTTACAAACTCCTTTCCCTTCCCCTCCCCACAACAGACACCCTGTGAGGTAGGTGGGGCTGAGAGAGCTCTTGACAGAAACGGCTCTTTTTCAAGAACAGCTCTGACAGAACTGTGGCTTGCCCAAGGTCATCCAGCAGGTGCAAGTGGAGGAGTGGGGAATCAAACCTGGTCCTCCCAGATTAGAGTCCACGCACTTAACCACTACACCAGACTAGCTCCACCCCACACAGCCTTCAGGATCTTCAAATGAAATGGTTAGGTGGACTGGTTTGGCAAGCAGGGAGGGGAGCTGTGGGTTTGTACAATTCATTGCAGCTGTGGAACTCACTGCCACTGGATGGTAGGGGCCAGGTAAACATGCACATGCATGGATGGCACAAGATTAAGCATTCTGGGAATTCTAGTCAGCGTGAGGGTTACGCTGGACGCCAACTCAGGAGGCAGCGGAGTGGGAGGGGTGCAACGGCCATCCAGGCGTTTCCGTGGTTTGCTTTAGCTCTGCCCGGGACTAGAACATGTATGTGAAGTAAGCAAAAGTGCACACAATTAAGACATTATACAGGTCATATGACCAGTGTTCCCTATAAGCTGAGTTAGAGTGAGCCAGCTCACCGTTTTTTAGTCTCTGGCTCACACATTTTGTCTTTGTTCAGGAAGAACGGCTCCAGAGCAAACTAATTTATGCAGCAGCCAAATCACCTGCTCACAACTTTAATGCCAGTAGCTCACAAAGCAGAATTTTTGCTCACAAGTCTTCACAGCTTAGAGGGAGCATTGCATATGACAACCGCCCCCCCAGGAGTGCAGAATACTTTCGCCCTGTGGGGTAAATATTGATCTGGTCTAGATTCACACACAGAGAACTTGTCTCCGATGGCTTCTGTCAGCACTGCCAGCCAAAACACAAACCTCTTTGCTCAACAGTGGAATTCTGAGACTGCCAAAGAGTGAGGATGGCTTAGGCCAATAGTCCCCAACCTGGTGCCCCTGGGCGCCAGCCAACAACTTGCCTGGAGCTTAAATTTTTTTTATTATTATTGTTTTGATATATTATGGGAAAGGAAATATAAGAGTGGGAAGGGTACAGGGTGTGGGACACGACATAAAGGAACATTTCATCAAATCTGTATAACAGCTGTTACATATTTTCAGTCTTAATTCTTTGTTTCCAGTTCTGCTTCTTTGTAGAATTACTAAGATTAGTATCACTTCATTGCTGACATATTCTGTTATGTTTCCTGTTAAGCGTCTAATTTTCGATAGTTCAAGTTGGAGTTTGTTCTTGATCCTTGAGGATTCTTTCTACCCAGTCATAAAATAGTGACCAGTTATTTCTTACGTTTCGTTTACTTCTGTCCTTCTAAGTGGTTTTAGAAACTGGGATTAGGTGAGGTGGGGCTTTTGCCCCCCTGGGCTCCTGACTGGCATCCTATTAAACAGCATTTACCACTAGAGGTACGCATAGCACTCTGACACTTCTGACACTTGGTGGTGGCCTCCCCGCCCTCTAGCAGCCCTTTTGTGGTTGGCTCTCCTTCCTGTGGCAGCCACTCTGTTCGTACCAAACGTAAGCATGCCAACCCATTTTCAGATCATGCCCTTCTAAATTTAGCAGTCTTGGTTTTTCTAGTAGAATCCAATCTTTAATCCAAGTTGTGCCGCCGCTTGATAGTATAAGTCCCAGTTGGGTAACCCAAAACCGCCTCTCTCTTTTTTATCTTGAAGTGCTTTCCACTTTATTCTTCCTTTTTTTGGATACCAAATAAATTGCCTAATTACTTTATCAAAATCTTTAAAATACTGGAAGTTCTTTAGTATCGGCAGGCCACGTTGGAGAGATCCGGTTCCAGGCTGGTCGAAAGCAGACGCACGCGCTGTAGCTCCGCTCGTCCAGCTCTTCCCTTTGCTTTTTCTAGACATTTTCATTGGTCTAAGTACTCTCCCAGAGAGAGAGTACTTGCAAGGAACTTTTACTCGAAGCTGGAATAGGGTGGTGGCAGCCACTCAGTTGATGTGCCCACCACCCTGTGACAGAATGTGAAAGGTGCCCACGGGCCCAAAAGGGCTGGGAAACCCTGGCCTATGCCACTGAGCCTCACCCACACATGTCCTCAGTGCCCACGGCAACCACCGGGGGGGCAGGGGCTACAAAGTCCAATGCCCCCCCTCCCCCGGTCTGGCTCAGCACAGCCCTCCTTTGGGGACTCACCAAGAAGAGCTTCTGCAGGATCCAGCCGTGGTACTTCCGCAGGGCCATCTCGTAGGCCTTGGTGGCATTGACCCGGATGAGGTTGGGGTTCTCCTCGTCCCTCTCGCCGTCACAGAGGCTCTGCATCAGCACCTGGATGAACTTCAGGCCCCTGTGCCAGGCAGGGAGGGAGACAGAACAAGGTCAGGCGACGTGGAAGAGAGCAGGGCCCAGGAAAAGCTGGCCCCCTCCCCCAGCTCTCGCTTGTCCCCAAACAGCCAGTGAGCCCCACGCCCAGGAAGGAGGAAAGAGCCACAGACCGTCTCTCATCCTCACTGTCCACATGGAGGAGGAGGAGGCAGCAAATGCACCTTCTCCCAGGTAAGCTGGTCTACCCATGCAGGGTTGTTTCCCAGAAAGTCTCTCCGGAAAGGCTTGTTTTCCCAGGCTGTGCCTGAACTCACCAGCTGGCTCCCTATTTGTCTGGGTCAGACCTTTGCCATGCAAACGTCACTTCCAGACCGGCCTAGTGCAGTCTGCTCTGTATCGGGCGCTCCCGAAAACGCTTTGGAAACTGCAGGGTGGTCCGGAATGCAGCTGCCGGGCTGCTGACCGGAACCCTGGGGTCAGCTCGTACAACTCCAGCTCTGCAGCAGCTGCACTGGTGGCTACCAATTAGCCTCCAGATCCATTTCAAGGTGTTGGTGTCAACTTGTAAAGCCCTAACCAATCTGGGACCCTCATACCTACGGGGCCGCCTCTCCCATGCCGGCCCCCCATGCTCCCTTCGGTCATCGTCCGGGGACCTCCTGCAGGTGCCTGGCCCCAGGGTGGCTTGGCTTGGCTAGCTGTCACCAGGGGAAGGGCTTCCTCAGTGATGGCCCCTACCCTGTGGAAGGCACTCTTGGATTACTCCTGTGCCCTGCCGGACTTGCTGAGTTAAGAACATAAGAGAACATAAGAGAAGCCAGTGTTGGATCAGGCCAATGGCCCCTCCAGTCCAACACTCTGTGTCACACGGTGGCCAAAAATACCAGGTGCCATCAGGAGTTCCAGCAGTGGGGCCAGGACACTAGAAGCCCCCCCCACTGTTGCCCCCCCCCCAAGTACTAAGAATACAGAGCATCCCTTGCCCCAGACTGAGAGTTCCTATAAGAACATAAGAGAAGCCACTGTTGGATCAGGCCAGTGGCCATTCCAGTCCAACACTCTGTGTCACACAGTGGCCAAAAAGACCAGGTGCCCTCAGGAGGTCCAGCAGTGGGGCCAGGACACTAGAAGCCCTCCCACTGTTGCCCCCCCCCCAAGCACTAAGAATACAGAGCATCCCTTGCCCCAGACTGAGAGTTCCTATCTACACCTTGTGGCTAGTAGCCACTGATGGACTTCTGCTCCATATGCTTATCTAATTCCCTCTTGAAGCCGTCCATGCTTGTAGCCGCCACCACTTCCTGTGGCAGTGAATTCCATGTGTTAATCACTCTCTGGATGAGGAAGACGTTTCTGCAGGGCATGCAAGGCCGAATTGTTTAGGTTGGCCTGTTTGGGCTGTTTTAATAGTGGAATGGTGATGGCCACATTTTTTGATAATTTACTATTTTAATGTTAAGATTTTATATTTGTTGCTCATTCTTATGTTGTTTGACCTTATTGGTTTTAATGCCGTAAGTCACCGGCGAGACCCTTCGGGTGAGCGGCGACTAAAAAAGAAAAATCTAATAACTAAATAAAATACAAATAATAAAATAGATCACACATATTATCTTCGTTTTGGAGGGTTTTAACTTCTTTGTTATGACATTGCTTAAGCGTTGTAAGTCGCCGTGAGTCCCTTTGGGTGAGCAGCAGTGGTTTTTAAAATCTAATAAATAAAACAAACCAACGGCGGGATCCCAGGCATGCCGGGGGCCCTCTCTGCGCTGCTTCTGGCGCCAGGGGAAGTCTGTCCAGAGATCAGTAGGCTTTTCGCACCACTTCAGCATCAGCTGCCACTTAACACCCCCCCCCCAAGAGAAAAGCACAAGAAGGTCTCCGCGTCACCTTTTCAGCCACATGAGTGCCAAAGTGGCCCCAACTTTTGGCCAAGCGGAGCCATACATCTCCTTCTCCGCTTCCAGGATGTTCTGCAGCGTTTTAAACTTGGTCGGGTTCGTCTCATAAACAGCTCGGATTTTCTGAAAGGGAACCAAACAGAATAAGTCGGCCTAAAATTGCTCTTGATGCCTCCTCGACTGCCACAGGAGTGGGAAGGAGTCCCTCTGGGGCCAGTCCTACCACCCGGCCTCTTCCCGCCCCCCGGCACCCAAGCGCTGTGAAGCTAAAGGAGCGCATGGGAAGGGAGGACCATTTGCAGCAGAACGCACCCGCCTGTCACGAGGGGAGGCAGCCACGGCCTGTTTGGGCGCCAGCCTCAGAGATGCACGCTACACACACACACACACACACACAACTTGGGTGCTGAAGCAGAGATCGGCTCCCCATCACCCGCCTGCCCATCGCTCAAAGGCGGCAGAGCTCACCTACCTTAATGTTCCCGGCTAGGTCGGCTTTGACGGGAGCGTACACAATTGGGGTCCCCAAGCAATCTAAAAGAGAAGAGAGCGAGGAGATTGGATTTATATACCACTCGGAGTCTCAGAGCGGCTTACAATCTCCTTTCCCTTCCCCTCCCCACAACGGACACCCTGTGAGGTCGGTGGGGCTGAGAGAGCTCTGACAGAACTGCCCTTGAGAGAACAGCTCTGAGAGAACTTGTGACTGACCCAAGGAGAAGAGATAGGATTTATACCCTGCCCTTCACTCGGAGTCTCAGAGCGGCTTACAAACTCCTTCCCCTTCCCCTCCCCCACAACAGACACCCTGTGAGGTCGGTGGGGCTGAGAGAGCTCTGACAGAAACGGCTCTTTTTCAAGGACAGCTCTGACAGAACTATGGCTTGCCCAAGGTCACCCAGCAGCTGCAAGTGGAGGAGTGGGGGAATCAAACCCGGTTCTCCCAGATTAGAGTCCGTGCACTTAACCAGTCCCTTCCCCATTACAGGCCAATGGGACAGGACCCAATTTGGGCTGGACTGGAGCATGCGCACGGGGGTTTGGGGCCTTGCTGACCTTTTGGGGTTCCCCGAACACACTGAAGTACCAGCACGCCCTGACTCTGGTGCCACAGAAAGCCTCCTGATAATGGCCTTTGCGCTGCTATTGATTTCCGTTCCTGAGCAGCACCACTTGGATCAGTTTGAGCATGAATGAGCAAGATGTAGCAGACAGGACCCGAGAGAGCCGGGCTGGGATCCACCCTCCACTGTGACCTTGGGCCAGTCCGCTTCCCGCAGCCTCAACTGACACTGCAGGAGTGCGGCGGAGGCGGGAGAGACTGAAACTGGCCTGGCAAAGGTGTGCTGGCCTCCGCCTTTGGAAGAAAGGAAAGTGCACAGACGTGACGAAGCGAGAAACACGATGCAAGGGGGGCAGGATGATCGGGCCACCCGCACAATATCACAGTCCCCGGGAATGGAGACGCCGCCTCCCCCCAGACCTGCTCGTATCTTCCGCCCGGCGGCTTTCCAGCCAAAACTAGCGGCTCCCAAAGGAGCTGAACAGACATTTTAAGACATACAAACATTAATCACAAAATAATTTTAGCAGGTGTTTAAAGGGGTGTGAGGGGTGTTCACACACACACACACATGAGCACACACACGGAGCTACCTTACACGGCATCAGACCTTCCATCAAGGTCAGTCTTGTCAACTCAGACTGGGTCTCAGGCGGAGGTCTTTCACAGCACCTCCCACTTGATCTTTTTTAAAAAAATTGGAGACGCCGGGGATTGAACCTGTACCTTCTGCATGCCAAGAAGATGCACTACTGCTGAGCCACGCCCCGTCTCCATATCCTCAGGGGTCTCAGGTCGATGGAGGCCTTTCACACATCACCTCCTGCCTGGTCCTTTCAACTGGAGATGCTGGGGATTGAACCTGGGACCTTCTGCATGCCAAGCAGAGGATCTTCCAGAGAGCCACAGCCCTTCCCCAGTGTTCTCGGTGAGGCAGGATGCAGGGGTGTCTGCCCGCTATCTTTTCTCCCACTGGCCTTGAGGGTGGCACAAGTAAGTACCGACGTGTGCACTGCAGACATTTTTCACCCCCTCACCCAAACACAAAGAAGGGCTTTCACTTGTGGCACCCAAGCCCTCAAAATGACAGCCCCAGCAGGAGTACCTCTAAGCGCTTCAGAAATATTCCCAGGCTCGATGAGTTTCTACACGTGGACACAGTTCTCCATCTCTGCAATGCCTCAACAGCTCACTGCATCCTGCAACGCTATCAGGTACTTGGAGAATGTTTTTAAAAACAGTCTAACAAATTTAGAGTCCAGTCAGGCACCTTTAAGACCAACAAAGGTTTCATCAAGGTATGAGCTTTTGTGTGCAGGCACACAAAAGGCCATACCTTGTCAGGGGTCATTTAGTTGAAAAAGAGGTGCAGGAGCTCATTAGCATAACTCATTTGCATAGGCCACACCCCCTTACATCACCAGAAGTGTGTCAGAGGGCAACACCCACCGCTCAGGCTCCACTGGACTTTTTTGGATTGCTAGCTATTGGGGGGACGGATGTGCAGATCTGTCCTCACAGAGGAGGAAGAGCTTGTACCTGAATAAAACGTGGTCTTAAAGGTGCCACTGGACTGTTTTGGACCGTGGGGGGCTCTGCAGCTTACCTGGCTGCTTCTTACTCTGAGGGCTGCTGGGAGCAGGGGGTGGGGCTTGTTGCATGTGCCCGCCCCTTGGGCTCTTTACTGCCGGAGCTCTGCTCCTGTGCGCTCCTGCAGGAAATGACCCCTGCCTTGAATAAACCTTTCTTGGTCTTAAAGGTGCCATTGGACTCTAAATTTGTTGTACTGCTTCAGACCAACACGGCTGACCAATTGGATTTAAAACCAGCCTGCATTGCTAAATGGCGGCAGGGCATCCAGTGACAGAAAGGCCCACGAGAAGCAGTTCTACTCCGGGCCCTCAAAGCGGCTTTTGTGCAGCGGACCAGCCTGGGCCGGGGGAGCAAAGAGAACGGCTGGACTCATTTCCACGCATAATAGCCAATATTGTGTATCTGGGAACAAACAGGACTGTCTATTGTCTTCTGGAAGCATTCGCTTCTGTGGCAGAATCAGTGGGGGAGGGGGAGGGATCTCTTCATGCAAGGCAAAGACCATCCCCGGGGCTTTGTGGAAGCTGTGCCATTAACGTGGTGGAACACACCCTGTGGGACATCCAACACCCCCACCCCGTCACGAGTCCATCTCCAAGGACCGGAAAAGGCCTCCTCCGTCTCTTTCTCCATTCGTGCACCAAGCTTTGTGAAACACACACAAAGCTGAATCAGACCTTTGGTCCTTCGTTGTCTCCTCAGACTGGCAGAGGCTCTCCAGGGTCTCAGGAGGATGGAGGTCTCCTTCTGACTAACCTTATCTCTTTTTCTCAGAAAGTTACTACCTTGCTGGATGAGGGGAATGCTGTAGACATAGTTTATCATGATTTTAGTAAGGCTTTTGATAAGGTTCCACATAATATACTTTTTTACGAACTGGAAAAATGTGGTTTGGATCCTAGCTTTGGACTGTTAGGTGGATCTGTAACTAGTTGACAGATCGCACCCAAAGAGTGCTTGTGAATGTTTCCTCGTCCTCTTGGAGAGGAGTGACAAGTGGAGTGCCTCAAGGATCTGTCCTGGGACCAGTTTTGTTCAACATCTTGATCAGTGATTTGGATGTAGGGATAGAGGGAATGCTTATTAAATTTGCAGATGATACTAAATTGGGAGGGGTAGCAAATACAGTAGAAGACAGAGTCGGGGTCCTGGATGATCTTGACAGGCTGGAAAACTGGGCTCAAAGAAATTTAGTGAATTTCAATGGGGATAAATGTAAAGTTCTGCATTTAGGTAGGAAAAATTAAATGCATAATTATAGGTTGGGGGAGACTTGTCTTGGCAGTAGTATGTGTGAAAAGGATCTAGGGGTCTTAGTAGACCATACAGTGAACACGAGTCAGCAGTGTGATGCAGCTGCTAAAAAGGCAAATGCCATTTTGGGCTGTATCAACAGAAGTATAATGTCCAGATCACAAGATGTGATGGTACCACTTTACGCTGCTCTGGTTAGACCTCACCTAGAGTATTGTGTTCAGTTTTGGGCACCACAATTTAAGAAGGATATAGACAAGCTGGAACGTGCCCAGAGGAGAGCAACGAAGAGTCCTATGAGGAAAGGTTGAAGGAGCTGGGTATGTTGAGCCTGGAGAGGAGAGGACTGAGAGGTGAGATTATCACCGTCTTCAAGTACTTGGAGGGCTGTCCTATAGAGGATGGGGCGGAGCTGTTTTCTGTTGCACCAGAAGGCCGGACCAGAACCAACGGGTTGAAATTAAATCAGAAGAGTTTTCAGCTTAACATGAGGAAGAACTTCGTGACAGTCAGGGCGGTTCCTCAGTGGGACAGGCTTCCTCGGGAGGTGGTGGGCTCTCCTTCTTGGGAGGTTTTTAAGCAGAGGCCAGATGGCCATCTGACAGCAATGCGGATTCTGTGAACTTAGGCAGATCATGAGGAAGAGGGCAGGAAGGGTTGCCTCCGTGCTTAGTTCTCGTGGCCCGTTCTTAAATGCTGATTGCCACTTTGGGGTCAGGAAGCAATCCTGGAAGTTATTTTGTCATGGCGTGGAACAGCAGTCTCTGCAGGTGTGGAGGGGGAGGGTATTTGTGAATCTCCTGCCTTGTGCAGGGGGCTGGACTAGATGACCCTGGAGGTCCCTTCCAACTCTAGGGTTCTATGATTCTGCACCCCCTGCTGCCAGGTGCCTTGAGGTGCTTGCAGGGACTGACGGAAGCAGGGACTCGGGAGCCCTGGGCCCAGGTGGGTGCAGCTGCCTCCGTTGCAATCCCAAGTCTGCGCTCTTGGTTTTCGGATTTAGTGTGCATCAGGGGGGCAAGGTGATTCGAGGAAAAAGCAGAGCAAGTGGGACAGGCATCGACCCAGCCCTGCCCCACAGGTGTCAAGAAGAGCGTGCTGTTGAGTCGCAACTGACTTGTGGCAACCCCGTCCACGGGACGCTCCAGGTGAGAGAGGAGCAGAGGTGGCTTGCCGTTGCCTTCCTCAAACCCGAGGCCAGCAACTCCCACAGTGGGTTGACAAAGCTTCCGTGGGGTTGACCTCAAACTGCAGCAGCAGCCCTGGACTTTGCTGGGGGTCTTCCACCCAAGTACTAATTGTGTCCAATGCTGCTTCGCTTCCAAGTTCTAATGGGCTCAGGCTATGGGGGGGGGGTGCCCCTGAATCCCCAAGCTCCCAAAGCCAGCCGGAAGATCAGGTCTCTCCCCCTCTCCCCCACCCCAGCCATGCTCGACGATCTGGTCCAGTGGAAGCTCAGGTCTAAGCCCCGTAATCATCACGGAATCAGTCCCAGCATCCATCCAGAGGGCGGCAATCCATAAGAGAAGCGCTACTGGATCAGACCAGCGGTCCATCTAGCCAAGCACACTGTTTCATACGTACAACCTCCAATGTTCCCTCTAAGCTGTGGAGTCTTGTGAGCAAAAATTCTACTTTGTGAGCTACTGGCATTA